AGGGGAGGAGCTAACGACGAGGCCTGCGACAGGTACTGAAGCGAGCGGCTTTGCTGCGACTGAGTGATGCAGCATCGCGGCTTGTTCCGTTGAATTCGTTGCGGCTGTTATTCAGTCGTCAACAATGGCTGTCAGATTGGAATGAGCAGATAGGAAACCCCAAAAGAACAAGCGGCGAAAGAGTGAACGCAACACCCCGCCCCTAAATCATGCTTGGAGCATCAAGGGTGGCGAGGCGGCACCAAAACACGTGCTCAGCAGGATTCGAACCTGCGCGGGCAGAGCCCACAAGATTTCTAGTCTTGCCCGATAACCACTCCGGCATGAGCACACAATTTTCGTTTACACTAATAATTTTCAGCATATAAGTACCCCTGCTGCAAAACTGCTGAAAGTATCAGAGCCAGGTTTCGATCCTGGGACCTGTGGGTTATGGGCCCACCACGCTTCCGCTGCGCCACTCTGATGTGACAGCTGTCTCAAGGAAAAACATATTAGCAAGAAAACCAGTATCCCTGGCGTATAAATCCCTGTTGAACAAAACTCGAGCCGTCGTCATACACAAGGCGGCAGATTTCGATTTGCCATTCCAATTTCTCACTTTCGCTACCCATTACTTTCGCCACTCCCCGCTGCCCGCATCTCGCTTGATGTCGTCGTGCCTGATCCCGATATCGTGCCTCCTCTCGTCGGCACCCTAAGTGCTCTCCTCGTTTTCCGCCTCCGCACCGCACGAATTATAAGCGATCGCGACAGGATGACTCGAGAGCTCGCTACCATCATCACAGCAGCTGCCGCTCTTCTCGGAACTGGTCTGGGCCTGCTTTTATCGCGTACATTGCTGAAGCCTAAAATAGGGAAATCGACGGTGAAGCACGTATTCCTGGCGAAATTTAAGGCGGATCAGACGCCTGAGCAAATCCAGGAGCTGATCGAGGGATACAAAGGGCTCACCAAGAAAATTCCGGCCATGAAGGGATTTGAGTGGTGAGCTGTGTCTGCCTCGCTTCACTCTCTCCCCTCCCTTCGTTTCAACCAAAGAACATTCGTCAACGTCTTTCCGTTAGCTTGGCCCTTGCTGCCCCATTGCTGATGCACAGGTGCATCCCACGAGCCTCCCTGCAAAACCCCCCAGGCACCATGTGGCCAGACTGTTATGCGGCCTCATCCCCCCCTCTGCCCCTCCCTCTCTTCCCTACAACCTCGTTCCGTGCCATGAACATCCCCCTGCTGCCCGCCCTGTGCCCCCCCCTGCGACTGCTTGTGCACGGCAGGGGCGCGGACGTGAGTGTGGAGGGCTTCACCAAGGGGTACACGCACGTGTTCATCACTACCTTTGACGATGCGGCGGGGCGCGATGCGTATGTGGAGCACCCGGAGCACAAGGCGTATGCGGGGGTGTTGTTCCAGGGGCTGGAGGACGGCATTGTGCTCGACTATGTGCCCTCCGTTGTCCTCTCCCGCTTCTACTCCTGACCGCCCAGCTCTCTGCCTCTCGCCTCCTAGCTGATGCCAAGAGAGCTGAGATATTCTTGTGTTGCATTTACCTTTCACTGGAATGTGGTACCTACATCAGCCCTCAAAATTCACGATAACCACACTTCCTCTGCGCCACTCTGATGTGACAGCTGGCTCAGGCTATTTCTTTAATTTTATGCTATAAAAAATCATACTGGAAAAGACTAGGGGGTATCCGAGAATAAAAGTTGCGGAAGCACGATGCTGGCGTGTCAGCCCTCAACATTCACGTAAACCAAAAGCAATGCTGTCGTGGGGTAGAATGCATTGAATGGAGCCACATGAATTGCAAGAAAAGCGCCCACCTCCCTCATGGAGTCATCTCTTTCGATTTCATTTGTTCCACATCGATCCTCCCCCAGCTCAGCCATGGGTCGCGGATCTTCCGTCTCGCTGCGCTTTCCTTCGCACCTCGCCATCTATGTGCTGCTCGCTATCTCCCTCTCCGCGTTCTGCGCCGCACAGCTTAACGATGGCGCTGCCGCATTTCCCGCTGAGCCGCGTCGGCTCGGCGATCCCAAGCTTCCGTTGGCCCTCGCGGCGGTCGAGGCGCTTCTCCGCCAGGCGCAGTTCGACGTCGCTGTAGGCGAGTACGATCGCGCCGCCCGCCGCCTTTTTTCGCCCGTCGCCGAAGTGTCCATCCCGGGCCGCCCACTGCAGCGCCTCGAAACCATCGAAGAAAAGGCGGCGTTTCTTGAGTCACTCGCGCCTGTTCCGCCCCCCTCTCCCCCACCCTCCGCAAACGGTACTCTTTTAAGCGGTTTGTCCCCAGTAGTGGCCGCTTCATTAATCGAGCGCGCGGAGCTGTACGTGCCCAAGTACGATCGCTATCTGGGCTACTCGCTGCTCATCTACGGCCGCCTCCTTCAGGACGCGGAGTCCGCCGAGCCGCGCACCGGCAAGTTTGTCCTCTTGTGGGATCTCATCGCGGACAACGCCAGGGTCGCGGGGGATGCTGACGTGGCAACTTCGCGGCAGCAAGAGAGCAACTCCGTCTATGCGTGGGGGCTGAGCTGGGCGTACTGGAACGACGACGCGCACAGGCATGGCCCGCCCCCCTCCCCCCCGCCTCGCCCGCCGCACCCTCACCCTCCGCACCCGCCCCACCCGCATCCTCCCGCCCCCGCCCCTGCTCCTTCTGCATTGTCCGCCGTTGATGTTACCGTCCGTGACGCCCGCGCTGCCCGTGGTTCTGATGATGGCAGGCAACCAAGCCACCAGATCTCGCTCGCCAAGCCTCTGCCTTCCCTGTCCGAGCCTCTCGCCGATCCACACCCGGCCGACCTGAAGCTGCAGATTCAGGAGGCTTGGACGAATTTCAGCCTCAACCTGGCGACTGCTGACGTGGCGGCCGCAGCCAGCATCTTCGCTGACAACGTGACGCTGCTGCCACCTGGGCATCCGAAGCTCACCCTGCCAGGGCCTCTGGACAAGCAGGATTACCTGCAGCGACTGGTGGACTGCCACGTGGCACTAGATGTGACCGTCGATTCTCTCCTGCTGGTGAAGCTGAAGTCCTCGTTGACGCCTGTCGTCCCTCCGCCTTCCCCAGCTCTTGAAGCTCTGCCTTCCCAGGATGCGTCGTCCGCCATGCTCCGCGGCTACAGTGCCGCGGATCTTCTGGCTAATAGCGAGGAGCTCATTAGCGGGGCGTCGAATGGCGATGCGTTGACTGTGATCACGCGCTCCTCCTTCATCCTCACCAACACCTCCACCGGTATGTTGCTAGCGTTCCTCACATGCATCCGTGGCTGGATCCCTGTGGCTGATCATCCAATGTGTTTTTCTTCCAGCTTCATGGTTACCTCATCTGTGAACCTCACCACTCCCCTGTCCCTCATCCCTCTCTCCATTCATTTGCCCAGATAACCGTTTTTCCGCACACTCCTTTCTTAACCGTTGATCTCCCACCCCCCTGCCATTCTCCACTCCCTGCCTTTCCCCTCTTCCTGCGTTTTCCCCCTCCCTGCCCTTCCCCATCCCTCCTTCCCCCTCCCTGCCATTGCCACATCCCTGTGATGCCCCTGCCCCTGCAGGCAAGCACATGAAGGCGGGCTCACTGCTGCAGAAGTGGGCACGTGTCAACCTGCCCAACTCCACCCTCGCAGCGGCAGGCGCGCCCCTTGCTGCCTCTCGCCACCGCTGGTACTTTGAGTGGGCCATCTGGAACTATCACAATATCCCAGCTGCTCATGTTGCTGCCATTTAGGGTACTAGGGTTGGTCGTTACATGATGGTTCCAATGAGTGCTGAATCTGGTGCATTGACAATGATCCTTTTCCAAAGTGTGATAATGAGATGTAATTCTGGATGTGTAAACAAAGTGAAGCAAAGGTAGTGGTAGATGGATATGTTGCATTTGGGTTGTTTCCAGGTGGCAATGCTTCGTGGTCAGTCTTTTTTTATTTGTTGGAGAGCATCGAAACATTCTTTAACGCAGACATGAAAGGTCGCGCTGGTGCATGAACATTTTTCTCATCGCCTCGCTGCTGGCTGGGATTTTGGCGCCATTGTTGAGTCGAGAAGTGGTGGCTTGATCAGAGAAAGCATAGAATCAGCGCGTCTCGTCTTGCGCGCTGCCCTCATCATCTCTGGTGTCTCTTGATTTCTGTCCCTGTATCAGGTCGATCGAGCGTCTATAATCTGGCGGTTTAGTTCGCGGTTAGCAGTAGTGTAAATCTGGATGATCACGCTATCAGCGTCTCGCGGCTGAATTCGCTCGATCCGACATAAACAGCACCGCAACTGACACGTTTAAGAGCCCTTCAAAGACGGCCGCGACTCGTTAGTTGGTTGGTGCAGAGCAACAGCTGTGCGTCGGTTCAGGAGTACGTATCGCGTGTCACAGACCATCGCTGTGTGAACATGCCGCCACCTGCTCCCGCGCAGGTACGACACCCCGCTTTCCGCTCATCCGCCTTCTCTCCCCTCCGCCGCTTCTTCTGGGTTAGCTGCTTGTCGGATGCACGCAACGTTTTTCCACTCGCTGTTCCAGTACCCTTCGTTCCACCGTGCTTCTCGTGTTGTGTGGAAGACGTCTCAACCCTCGCGCGTCTCGCACCGCACCTTGTGCGCTCGCCGCGTCCCTGTGCCCCCCCAGGTGCGGTCGCTCTACAGGACTCTCCTGCGCGAGGCGCACCGCTTCCGCAACTACAACGTGCGCCACTACGCGTCGCGCAGGATTCGCGAAGGCTTCGCGGAGAATAAAGACACCGCGGAGCCGGAGAAGGCGGAGGCGGCGTACGAGGAGGGCGTGCGCGCGGCGGCGATGGTGCGGCGGCAGGTGGTGGTGTATAACATGTACGCCGCGCCGCAACGGTCCATCATGGAACTCGACAATCCCTAGGGTCTCCCCTCCACTGACCAGAATAGAGTCACCATACCGCTGCTAGCACAGCGTTGGCGAATGTACACTTGATGAATAAATAGAACCCTATACAAGCTTGCTTCAGAAGACGAGGACCAAGTGTGTCAGTACATTATTATTGCCATTCTTGGGCATTGTCCTCTGCCAGCCCAGGAGCCATCTTGGTCACCTCTTCGGCTGCCTTAGCCACCAACCCATCCACGATATCAGTCCACTTGCCAGCCACCACCCCTGCTGCCTTCTCCACCTCCGCTCTCACCCTCTCTACCTCCGCCTTCACTCTCTCCATCGCCTCCTCTGCTCCACTCCCCCCAAACCCCCCCTTCTCCCCATCCTCCGTCCCCACTCCGTCCTTCTCCCCTCCATCCGCCTGTCTCTCTCTTACCTCCCCGTCCTTCCCCACCAGCTCCTCCTCCGTCGCTTCTGGTTCATCATCATGCAAGTGCGGCAGGCTGGAGGGGTCAGCAGCGTGGGCCACGTGAAGGGACACGGCCCGTGCAAGCGCCTCCAGGTGCTCCCCGCGCCGCTCCTTGAGCGTGGCACTGCGCTGCATGCGCTGCTGCTCCGGTGGTGTCTGCTGCTCCTGCTGCTCCGCTTCCATTGCCTGAGGCGGTTCACACAGGGGCATGGGGGTTGGGGAAAGAGGGCGGGGAGTGTACGGCGAGAGGAGAGCGCAGAACCGCGAATGGGGACAGCTGGCAGTGAAACCAGAGGTCACAGAGACATCAGATGAGGGCAGAGCAGCGGGCGATGTGAGGAAGGGTGGGACTGACAGCGAGGGCGAGGGCGCATTTGGCCTCAATGTGGCCGATGATGTGATCGTAGACTATGGAGGGCGACACCACCACTCGCTCAAACCGGTGATCCACCGGCACCGCCGTCTTCACCACTGGGTGTGGGTAGTGCTGCATGCTGTGACAGACACGTGGATATTTGAAAGAGCAATCACACATTCACACCAAGAAGAATTGATATCTTCACCCCATGGCGGTGCCCTTGCGCACATGTTACAGAGCAACCAAACGTTGACACAACCATATGTACTTTCAAATGCTGACCTCATATGTGCGGCACAGGCACAGTGCATATGGGCAGAGCAGGTCACCTCATGTGGGGGCGGTAGAGCACGTGGAAGAGCCTGCCAGGCGCGTAGAGGCGGCGCGGGTCTTTTAGCTTGTCGGCCGTGGAGATGAGTGCGTCCTGCTGGTACTTGTACAGCAGCATGCATGGTAGACTGGCACATAAGGGCATGGGAATGGGGTCGAGGGGAGTAGGGCACAGGTATGTGACATGCTGGTGTGAGGAAGTGAGGGACCGAGGTGAGTGAGGGAGGGAGTGTGGAGAGGAAACAAACCATGGCAGAAAATTGTAGGACGACAGGAGTGAAAACAGCAGCATGTATAGGAGAGAGCAGCAGCGAGTGAGTTACCAGAAGCCAGCAGCAAGAGCAGATCGAACAGGTGCTGATGTGCGCACCAGAAAGTCATCCTGTGGGTGGCAATGGGATGGGACGCGATGGAGCACGGGGGAGCAAGAGCACAGAGGGATGCGATGTGAGGGTGAAGGAGGGGGCACGGGGGGATGAAGATAGCCGAGCACGCAGGGTGTGGGAAGGGTATGGAGGGGTATCACTACCACACAGCTAAGGCTGCTGGCTTTGCTGCAAGCACCTGCCACGCCCACACCTGCAGCACGACGGAGTTGATGACGTCAGCGTATTTAATGGCGAGGTTGAGCGACATGGAGCGAGCGGGCGCCATGCAGAAGCAGCGCAGGCGCCGCACACTGAACCCCACGCGCTCCCTGCTCGCGTGCAGAATGACCGTCGCCATCGCCACCACCCCGCTGCCCAGTGAGTGGCCCGTGAGCGTGAGCGAGTAGGCTGGGTGGGTGCGCGCGAGCATTGTCAGCACGGGCATCTCCTGGTCCAGCAGCCATGCGGCTGCCTTGAGCATGCCCGTGTGCACGAACCCGCCGTCCAACCGCTGCCAGGAGACGAGGGGGATGGGGAAGGGGAAGGGGAAGGGGAAGGGGAAGGGGAAGGGGAAGGGGAAGGGGAAGGGGAATGTTTGAGTCGAATCGCTGCCACGCGGTGGGGAGTGGGGATGGAACGGTTGCGTGTCAGCATGTGGAGTGCGCGGTTTAGAGCACGGGTTGCAAGGGAAATGAGCAAGGTGGAGACGACAGGTTGAAGGAGCATTGCGGTGCGGATGGAAGGGATGAGGGGAGGCGGGCGGAATGTGGGGAGAGGAGGAGGAGGAGAGGCAAGGCGAGGGGCAGGGGAAGGCGGGGGGAGGTGGGACCCTTGAAGAACGCTCCATAGTCCCACCAGCAACAATCCCTCTCCCCTCTCCCTTCTTCGTACTGCACCGCATTGCACCCCTCACCTCCGAGCCCTTCTTCTGGTCGAGCAGAATCTCGTAGTCCGCGATCTGCGAGCTCTTCAATCCGCGCACCGCCAGGCAGATGTCACGCGCCGCGTGGTCCACGTAGATCATGTACGGCGGGCACCGCCCCTTAGTATCCTCGTAGTTCGCGCGCCGCACCACGAAGTCCTCGTTTATGAGCCCCCTAAAGTACGGCTCCGCGCGCCGCATTTTGTAGACGGCGCTGAGGAGGTGGCAGAGGCGAGGCACGTCGTGGAACTCGGAACACGTGGCGAGCGGCCATTGGGCGCTTGTTGCTTCGCTGGAGCGCGTGCAACGGCGGTAGGTCCAGAGGATGCAGCAGCAGGGACAGCAGAAGATAAGTGGTAATTGCGGGAACATCGACATGGTATTTACCAAATGAAGGCACTTCCTGAAGTGTTACTCCGAATAACTACAACAAGTATTTCACGGATAGGAAATTACAATGCTTCAGACTCTAGAACCTGAGAGGCAATGCAGGCGCGAGAGCTAACAGCTGACACCGCGATAATGATTATCGTCCTGTGACTGTCGTGGGGGGGTAATGAGTAGTTGTGCTGCGATACTAAAATAGGAGCGCTTCCCGTTTTGGAGGCAGTGGGGGGGGCACAACACGGCCGTGCAAAGAGGGGCACGCGACAATTCCCATCATGTTCGTCTTGTGCGCGGGAAGAAACCCGATTGGTGGACGAATAGAAACCTGGCGAAGATATCCTGACGCGAGGAGGTGTCGGTGTTACATACCAGCGCCCTTTCGAAAAACATAAGGGGTGTTCCGAGAATTGAACTCGGGACCTCTCGCACCCTAAGCGAGAATCATGCCACTAGACCAAACACCCACGGTGCTGGTTTGTCATTTTATTTTGTGTGTGCTGATTAACCATACAGCCACACGTTCTTGGGATCAACTATCGAGGCAGCTCACCCAGATCGCGTGCCTATGGAGGCTCCTAAGTTTCTCGAAAAAATCGGCCGGGCCTCGCCACCGGGCTATAAAATCCGCCATGGCTCCTCCTCTCAAACACCACAGCACCACTTCAGCTGTTCAATCGCTCTTCACCAGCGTCTCCCTCATCGTCCGAATTCAGCACCGTGGTTAACTCATGGCTATTTGCGCGACTCCTCTTGGTCGTACCTTGCTTTTGCTGGGGCTCGCCCTGCTCGGCCTATCCTGGCCGTTCATCGCGGCATCGAGGCGCGTGCTCCCGGAGTCATCAACGGCTGCCAGCACGTCGAATCTGTTCGGCGGTCTCTTCTCCTTCAGCTCGATGCAGAACCTCGATGTTACTGACGGCGGCGCCATCTCCCTCACGTTAGACCGCGTTGGAGGTACGTATCTGTAAGAATAAGAGTCAACTTAACAGGAAAATCTGGGTGTGCAGTTGACTGAATCTGGGAGCCTCGTTTTCGGTGCTGTGCAGGCGCGGGATTTGAGTCGCGGCGGGCCTTCAGCTTCGGGACTTTCAGCGTGGACGCGAAGATGCCGCGAGGGTACTCCGCTGGGGTGTGCGCCACCTTCTTTGTACGTCCCTCCCGTTGCACCCTGCTTGAGCACGCGAGAAAGAATGCTTGCTTGCACCTTTTGTAACAACTCTGCTTGTGCCGTTGCATGTGCCTGATGGTCATGCACGTGTTGGTTGCACGCTGCATGTTAAGAGCGTGTTACGTACCCCACTTTTTGGTGGCTGGTCGAGGCAACCAAGCAAGATCACCGCACACTACCGATGTTGGGTGTTTTGTCAACGCATAATACCGAAGTTTCTCCAGGATCAAAATTGCCCCGTTGGGTCGACCGTCGCAAGCGCTCTAAACGTAGAAACTGATTTGTTTCCCCTGCTCCCGAATTTTTTTGCATGCGTCTGCAGCTGCAGTCAGGCGACTACGAGCATCGCAACGAGTGGGACTTTGAGTTCCTGGGGTCGCCCAACAACTCGCGAGGCATGACGCTGCAGACCAACGTGTTCATGAACGGCCAGGGCAACCAGGAGGTGCTCACCGCCTTTGCCTTCGACCCCGCCGCTGCCTTCCACACCTACACCATTCAGTGGGGCCCGCAGCGGACCGTGTGAGTGCCTCTTTCCACCACAGTTACATTAACCATTGCCCGATCGCCTCTCTTCAACAGCAGCAGCAGCTACCTTTTGCCTATTTCTCTTTGCTGTCAGCTGGCACCTGACAGCGCTTCATTCAAGCGTTTGAGCAACATTGAATTCACCTGTGCCTGCCATCTACCGTGTAATGTCAGGTGGCTGGTGGACGGAGTGAACATCCGCACAGTGAGCAACGGCAGCCCGCACTACCCCAAGGACCCCATGAAGGTCTACTTCAGCATCTGGGACGCCTCCCCCTGGGCCACTGGGCCCCGCACCGCCCGCATCCCCGTCAACTACGACTATGCTGTGAGCACACCTGTTACTTGGAGCTTGTGTTCATGTTGCAGCCGTCACTGCGTATTCATGTGTTGCTTTTTTCTTGCTTGCAGCCTTTCACTGTGACTTTCAAGAACTTCAAGTACACTCCGCTGTCTGCAAACTGATGGGACCGTGCCGGTGGTCATGGACTCATGGGATGGAAGTTGGTTGGGTTGAGGCAGAGATTGCTGCAACTTATCAATGTGTATATAAGAGGATTATGTACACTAATGCCATATTGTACAGATCTTATGAGGTTGTGGCCTCACCACAACAGTTTGTAAAACAGACGTGTTCAAATCAATGGGGGGGTTTGGTCCAGCACGTAACAAAGTGAACAATACTATGATAATAACATCTGTGTGAAATGGGTTATAACATCTCTCAGCGCTAAGATGCACTTCACTACGGTGTGACTAGGTTCACAACCTGAAAAGCGGATGGCAAATCCTCAAGTTTTCACTGACGCGCTCATCCCAGCCCGCTCACATTCGGGCATGCGCGCAGCATTGGGCTGGTTCAAGGGGACGCGCGGTATGCCATCCATGCTCCGCGCAGACAACGCCCCCCATGCCATCCTCGCTTCTGACATTCCCAATACCCAATGAATCTTGAGTCGGCTCCAAGCTTCTAAGCCCTGCGTTGCGGAGCACGGCCTCTTTCTTGGCTCCCACCCACTCTCGCGAGTCGTTAGGTGGAGTCGCGATGAGGCATCTCTCTCGATTGCAAGCCCAATGCCGCGCACCACACCCGTTCCGCCTGCCAACAGCGCTGCTGCTCTCCTCTCTGCTTCTTCTATCGGTACCGATGCTGCCGCGCAGCAATGCTGAATTCGGTACCAAGCCTGCTGCCGAGCCTGGCACCTCGGTAGGGACGGTAGACCCACGCGAGGTCGTCGAAACCATCTCCGAGTCGCTGAGCGATCTTGCCGCCGCCGTGAATTCCGGCGATGCATGCGGCATTCTGGACTTCTTCCCTGAAGCTTCGTCAATACTTCCTCCTCATTCCCCAGAACTTCATCTCAACGAGAGCGCGCTGCGACTGGGCCTGGTGCAGCAGTTGCTGGCGCTCGACATTAGAGTGCGCTTTAATGTCCTCGAGGCCTGGGTGGGCAAAGGCGACCCGGGGAGAGTCAGAGACGCGATCCGGATACGAACGCGAGGAGATCCGACGAAAGGGTCAGCGCCAGCGACAGCGCAACAGCAGCAGCAGAGAGGGGAGGAGGAAGAAGAGGAAGAGGAGGGCGCGGAGGGCAGTGGGGCGGGTGGGGAGGGCGCGGAGGGCAGTGGGGCGGGTGGGGAGGGCGCGGAGGGCAGTGGGGCGGGTGGGGAGGGCGCGCGTGTGCTGCGCGGCGGTGACCTGTTCGCCGTGGCTCGCATCGCATTCACAGCGAACTGCCTTGGCGCGACGTGGCGGGGCGGCCAGGCGAAGCAAGGAGGCGGCGCGCGGGGAGGCGAGGCTACGCCAGGCCGTGAGGGGGTCGAGGAAGGAGGCGAGGAAGCTTCCGTGTGCGAGTCAGCGTGCGTGGAGGGGTCTATTTTGGCCACGTGGCACAGATCTGCTGAGCTGGCGCGCAGCGGGGGCAAGGTGACGAGGCATGAAAGCGGGGGCTTTGAGGGCGAGAGCGGTTTGGGATGCGATTCTGGAGGGGCAGGCAATGACCACTCCAACGTGTGGCGCCTGCACTGGGCCGCCTGGAACCATGCCAACTGCCAGAACCGCGGAGCACCGCATTCCACCGCGTGGGGCGGTGCGGAGGGGTTGGTGCAGGTGGGAAGCGAGGGGCGGGCTAGCAGGAAGGGTGCGCGGCAGCTGCTGGTGACGCCAGAGTCCACCGCTAAGCTTACTGCTGCACCCGCTGATCTCAGCAGCGTGGGGGGTGACGTGCGCAGCAGTGCAGTGCAGGCGCAGGAGGGTGGTGCGCGCGGCCCTGCCAACCCTGCCAGTGTCATGCTGGGCCATGGGGGCGCAACGATGCAGCAGGGGGTACAGCAGGGAGTGCAGCAGGGGGTGGGGGCTGGGGTTAGTCCGGAGGGGTTGAGGGGGGGTTGTGCGCAGTGGAAGGTAGAGGCAGCACTGGCAGCACTTACAGTGGCACTGCTGAATGGCAATGCCACCGCCGCTGCACAGATATTCGTCCCCGGTGCCGTGCTCTTCCCCCCGGCCTCCCTGCCCCTCACACTGCACACCACTGCACAGGCGGCAGCGTGGCTGCAGCCAATCACGGGCCGCCGGCTCATCTTCCAGCCCCAGCTGGAGGAGCTGCTCGTGCTGCAGGCTGCCACGTGGCATGCTCTAGAGGGTGACACGTGGCATGCTCTAGAGGGTGACACGTGGCATGCTACGGCGCTCCAGGCGGCAGCAGCAGCAGTTGGAGTGGGGTCATTACCGACCGTGGTGGTGACACGAGGCGTGTACCGGCTGTGGGAGCTCAACGGTAAGGCTGCTGCCTGCCTGCGCTCTGCTTGTGCCTGCTACCTCCTTTTCCTGTCCTGCTTGCCTCGTTACTACTTTGAGCCGTAGCGCTTACTGTTCACCTTGTGTGTGTGTAGCGGGCATGGGAGCAGGGCTGGAGGAGGGGCAGGGCAAGTTCGTGCTGCTGTGGGAGAGCAGCAGTGAGGGTGACAGCACTGCAGCGCTGCATCGCAGCAGCAGCAGCGGCAGCAGCAGCAGCGGCAGCAGCAGGAAGGAGATGATTTCCGCGGCACTCCAGGGGAGAGAGCAGAGAGCGAGTGACGAGTCCCCAAGGGAGGGTGCAGAGGCATCAGCTTGGCAAGAGAGGGAGCCATACTGCCCCTCCTTCCGAGTGGCCAGGGCCCTCTGGAACTCCGACGTCCCTGCTGTGCCCCCCGCCCCCTCCCCCGCTTCCCCTCCCTCCCCACCCTCCCCCCCCCCCCCCCCTGCCCCCGCCTCCCCTCCTCCTCCTCCCCTTTCCCCTCCCCCGCCACCCGGCCCCAAACGCCCTCCCCCTCCCCCTCGTGCTCCTGGGAAGTCCCCCCCACCGCCTCCCACTGCTCGCCGTCCCCCTCCCCCTCGCCGGCGCTCCCCTCCCCCCCCTCCACGGCCGTGAGCACCTGGGGGGGTAGTGAGGAGAGCAGTGTACGGAGTGGGAGAGAAAGAGCGCAGAGAAGGCTGTGAGAAAGCAAAGCGTGTGTGGGAGATGTGGTATCAGCACGGTGACTGCTGGCATGACTGTGCAAGACAAGGTAGTTGCTGCTGCACGTACCAAGCTTGTGGATTGAAGGCGTTGATATATCTGTGGCAAATCCTTTTTCCAGGGAAAGGAGTATTCTGGATGCTTAATCAGCTGCTTCTGGCCTGAAATGTACCATATTGGTAGTTGACCATTGAATCAGGCTGTTCCATGTGTGCATTTCCAAGTCAGTGCATCCCAGATAGGTGTGTGAGATCTGTGTGTGTGCGGAGTGCATGAACGTGGATGCTACTGATCAGTAAGGACGTGCTTCACCAGCCATGATCCCACTGATCCCACTGAATGGCAGTGGCGTGGCAGCATTGAACCTTGCCTTGCAGGCAACTGTTCATACATGCGACACAGTGAGCTTGGTTGAACCAACCTACACATGGCATGAGGCAAGTCCCGCAGAAACCTAAGATAATTACACACACAGCAGCATTCGCCAACTTGCTTTATAGTTTCACGTCACAGGAAGCCCCATCCTTTCGGCTACCATGCAAGTGCAGCGATGCTGGCATGCGCATGGTGAGGAAACAGCCCCACCGAGTCAGGCGTCATATGCCCCCCTCCTTTGTGCTACCATGCAAGTGCAGCAATGGTACCACTAGTGTGCACATCCCCACGGAGGCAGCCCCACGGTAGCTAACACCACGTGCCACAGCTCCTCCTCTACCCTGTGAATGCAGCGATGGTGCTCTGCACATAGTCAGCAGGCAGACCAACAGCATCCATCGCCACGCGCCACAGCTCCTCTGCAGCCCTCTCGTTGCGCCCGTGCGCTGCCACCTCGCCCCGCCGCCCGTCCAGGTCAAAGTAGGGCCCCGATAGCAAGCCTTGCTCGCGCACTGCCCTCGCTTGCTCGCCCACTGCCGCGTGTGTGGCGCAGTACAGGGGTGCCAGGGCCCCTGGGGGACAGTAAGTGGGGTTGGGGTGAAATGGAAGCGAGTTTTTTCGAGGTGTAGTTTATGGAAGTGTGAGGAAATGGAGGGAGGACGTGGGGAAGAGGACAGATGCAGGAGGTTAGAAAGGACGGAGTGGCAAAGACACAGAACTCTGCACGCCTAGAATATTCAGTGTGTCGAACAAGCAATATTGGTCGATCCCCACCCCATGCATGCGTGAACGCAAATTGGCATGCGTGGGGTGCAGAGGGCGGGTGGGCATACCCTGCCAGGGCTCGAGAAGCAGGGCGTGCATGACGGCACGTTGCAGCTCCTGGATGAACCTGGGGAGAGTGCGCGCCTGCATGGGGTCACAGGCACGAGGACACAGGCAGCGGAGGAGCGATGGGAATCATGCGGCTACAGCGGAGATACGACCATAACAGCTGGCGAAGAATTTGAAGGAGGTGTGGATGGGGAGGAGCGATGGGTGTGAGCAGCGGATCAAGTGTGTGAGGGCGCACGTGACTGACCACGTTGGTGAGCACCTCCCCTGGGTGCACCGCCACCACGTCTATGCGCGCGCTGGCCGGCAGGCGGCGCTGCAACACGTTCGTCAGCATCAGCTGATGCCGGGCGCGCAGGGGAGACGGATGGGGGAAGATGGGGTGGGAGAGAGTGGGGAGAGAGGAGGAGGGACGGAAGCGAGAATGGGTTTGGTAACGAGGAAGGGAGGGTTGCACAGAGAGCAATGGCAGATAGGACCACGAGAGTGAGAGCGAATGGGTGTAGCGATCACGAGGTTAGGCAACAGGCAGCACGTTTTGAAGCAGGGAACACACCTGAGCGAGCTTGCTCTGGTTGTAGGCGGCTGTGGCATTGAAGCGCCGTGTGCGCCCCTTGAAGCTCAGATCGCCCACGTCTAGATCGCCCCATGCATGCATCTGAGGGGGCGGGAGGGAAGACAAGGAGAGAGGAGAGTGAGGCTGTGCATGTGCGTGCGGGGTGAAAGAGGGTGCCATGAGGGGACTGCCATGAGAGGACTGCCATGAGGGGAATGCCATGAGGGGAATGCCATGAGGGGAATGCCATGAGGGGAATGCCATGAGGGGAATGCCATGAGGGGAATGTCATGAGGGGAGTGCCATGAGGGGTCAACTCTACGCACAGCCAGATTGGGAAGTGCTTAGAGTCGGCCATGGACGGCAGCAGGTAACAGATCAAGTGCTTCTCATTCACCGCGGCATGCGGAGCATATAGGTCCTTGTTGTGACTCACAGTGGACGACACGTTGACGATGCGAGCGCCGTGGGCGCGCAGCAGGGAGGGCAGCACCAGCAGCGAAAGCAGCAGCGGGCACACGCAGTTCACCGCTATGTGCTCCTCCAACCCGTCCGCTGTCAGTCGCTGGGGGGCTGGGGGGGGGGAAGAGGGACGGGAAAGGCCGAGAGGAGGGACGGGTGGGACAGGCGATGAGAGAAGGAAGGTGAGGTAAGGAGGGAGGAGGGTGGACCAGAATACGGCTCAGGTTGCGTGTATCAGGGCACCCTGGCAGGTGAACTAGCAACGGCGGCGAGGCACGGCCCTCGGCGTCCATCAGCGCACCTCCCATGGAGAAGATCCCCGCGTTGTTCACCAGCACGTGCAGCGGACGCGCCTCCGCCTCCCACGCGCGCGCGAACGCGCGCACCGACGCGAGCGACTCGAGGTCCACCTGGCGCACCTCCGCGCTCACGCTGCCCGCCTCGCCCTCCCACGCCGCGATCAGCTTGCTGGCGGCTTCCGGCCGCCGGCACGCCAGCACGACGTGCGCGCCCGCTAGGACCAGCTGCCTGCGGACCGGGTGGGAGAGCGCAACGGACGAAGGTGGGGGAAGGGATTCAGCTGGCAGTTGCGAGAACGAGTAACTGCTGGGCCGCATGATCTGGCAGGATTCGCAAGTGCTCACTTAGCGATCTCGAGGCCAATGCCGCTGGTGGGACCCGTGACGATGACGGTCTTGCCGCGAATGCTCGGGTCGCACGCCCACTCCGCGATCCCTCGTCGCTTGATCATTCGCCGCTGAACGATGATCTCCCACACGATGCGGATGCATGCGACGATCTGCTGCCACAGGCCCACCCTGATGCGCGCCAATGCCATCGCGGCGCGACGACCCTTCCCCTACAAGATTATTGAAACGCAAACAGGGGTGCTATGCTGTTGCGCGAAGGATAGTTCAGAATGAGGCTACGGATTGTCGTCATGTGACAGAGCGTGGTCCAAATTGGTTCAGAGGAGAAGCGATTAATGCCATAGCTGCGATCAATCGGAGTCAGCTAGAAGTTTCTGAGCCTATCCATCGGCAATGTCTCGCTCGGAAGCGAAGGAATTGGGACGAGGGAGCTATGAGCTACGGAGGAAACGATGGTGAGAAGCGCAAGCACGAGAAGGGAACCAATCGTGACCAGAGTCCATGTCGTGAGAAGGTGCTGCTTTTCTATTCAACAGTTTTCCCCCCAGATTCTGTCCCTGTCAGAGGTGACAGTATCGAGCTGCGGGGATCTGCGTGCATGTACGGAACGGCGGGGGGCTTCCACACCTCGCGGAACCCCGAACCTTGATCCTGAGCTACCTCACATCCAGCACCCATGCGCCTGAATAAACCGTTTGGAACCACATTCAGCCGTGCAGTCGTTTGACTCGGATATTTTCTCCGAGCCAAGCTGAGATACAGCCATCCAATCCCTGGGGAAACTGGAAAAGGCTACAAGCAGCTGGCCGTTAGTACATAGTTGATGTGTGCGCAGTCGAAGAATCTTGCTAATGAGAGCAATTGTGCGGGATTTTTTTTCCACGATAACCGTCTATAGTATCATGTTGTGAGAATGCTCAGTGTCGTTACGTTCTAGTCAAACACTCCTTTTTCTTTCCTCGCCGTCGCTGTGCGCGTCGCTAAACGGGGAACGGCCGGCCGTGCGATCGTGGGACGCAGGATGATGTACCCCAAGGCCGCAGCGCCGGGCGTGGTTCGGCTTGACCAGATTCCGCGATGGACAGAGCAGGAGTTCGGCGCGGCGGCTCTCGGAGGCTCCGCGCTGGGCGACATCGCGATCGCGGCGGACCTCATGGGGCTCGAGCCGCCAGGAATAGGAGTCACCGCATTAGATGGAGATCCCGGCGCGTCGGGCGCGGGAGTCGCAGCAGGCGCGTCAAGCTACGCGACGGCGATTGCTTCGACGAGCTCGGCGGGCGACGAGGACCCGGGCGGGTTCGACGACCCGCTCTCCGCGCACGGCCTGGAGCTGCGCGGCCGCGGGCGCGGATCCGGCGGCGCGCCGAAGTTCCCGGTGAACGCGGAGCTGAACGTTAAGGTGTACGTGTGGCGCGGCGCGCCGTGGGCGCTGGAAGTGGACGCCGTGGTGAACTCGACGAGCGAGAGCCTCGACCCCGCGCTCTCGTCGCCCGGCCTGCACGACGAAGCCGGCCCGGGGCTCGCCGAGGAGTGCGCCACGCTGGTCCGTGCCGCGCCCCGTCCCGTGCTGTGCCGTCCCGTCCCTCCCTACTGCCGTTGCTGCTGCTGGTTTACGCGTAGGGTTGTCGCTGTCGGGATTCGTTTGCAGGGATGCGTGGGAGGGGGGCGGGGATGTGGTTAGTTGCAGTTCACGGGGTGTGGAGAGCACGGGGCTTGGTCGATAGAGCAATGCGCCCCTGCGTTAGCGAAGACCATGTGTGCGTGAATCTGATCGCTCACGCGCATGTCCGTGTGTGTGCGTGCCGTGCTGTGCGGTGTGCGTGCAGGGGGGGTGCAGAACGGGCGAGGCGAAGATGACGGGCGCGTACGAGCTCCCCGCCAGGTGAGCCCCTCTCTACCACTCCCCGCCGCGCCTTCACCTCTCCTCGCATTCCCTCACCCGCCTCATCCCCTTCATTCCCTCACCCCGCCATCCCCCTCAGCCCGTGACCCCGCTCTCCCCCTCACCTCACCTCCCCCACGTCCGTTCCCCATGTCTGTGGACACACGGTGCATAATCACGTGGCAGGCGCGTGATCCACACGGTGGGGCCGCGGTACACGGACAAGTACCAGACGGCCGCCGAGAACGCGCTCAGCCGCTGCTACCGCATCTGCCTCGAACTGCTGCTCGAGAACGAACTGCGCAGGTGGGCGGGGGGGGGGAAGGGGCGGGGAGGAGGAGACGGAAGGGAGATGGGAAGCGGTGCGGGTTAAGAGAAGGAGGTCAGGGAGCAGGGGTGCTGGGATCTGCTTGGGGCAAAATAATGCTTAAGTTAGAGAATGCTGCAGCTGTTTCTCATTCTTCTCCCTTCTCCTTCCGTCCTGCCAACTTTCCCACCTACGTCCATCCCTCCGCTCTTTTTCCCCTGTTCTCCCTTCCTCACGACAACCCCCTCCCCCCTGGCAGCATAGCGCTGCTGCCCATCTACTCAGAGGCGAAAGGGTATCCCAGGGAGCCCGCTGCTCACGTTGCCATCCGTAAGCCACTCTCTGCCCATCATCTACTTACCGTACCCCACCCGCCACGCAATGCTGTGCTATTCCTCCACCACTCATGCTGCAAGCCTCCGCCTTTACACATTCATGGCCATGTTTAGAACATGCGCTCTTAGATTCTGCTCCGTGTTTTCACCATGCTGGTACCTCACACCCTTGCCCGTCCGCCCTCTGCCCACCTGCCCTGCCCCCCTGCCCCGCCCCTCATGTCCCCCCGTGCCCTCCCTGCCTTCCCCCATGCCTTATCAGGCACGGTGAGGCGGTTCTTGGAGAAGCATGGGCGGGGCATGGCAGCGGTGGTGTTCTGCATCCAGACGGACGACGACCACCTCATCTACAAACGGTGCGCGCGCCCCCGACCCACATGCACTCTCACTCTTGCCGCCTCTTTCACCCCACACGTCCACGTTACTCTCTATTTCCTGCGCTCCCTTGCTACCCAATGCAATCCCACGCTCCCTCCCCATTCCCACCCCCTCTCCCCACTCCCATTTCCTCTCCCGCTCCCACTCCTCCACTCCCTCTCTCACTCCTCCGTGTTCCCCCCACTGACCCCTCGCACAGCCCATACAGGCTGTTACCGCTCTATTTCCGTGGGACAACATTGAGGAGGTGGCAGCGCAATCCCTGCTGCTGTTTATCACCAGGCACAGCACAGCAGTTCCTCCAACTCCCTCACTCACTCCTCCGTGCTCCCCCCACTGCCCCCCTCACTCGGCCCGTGCAGGCTGTTACCGCTGTACTTCCCGCGGGACAGCAGCGAGGAGGTGGCAGCGCAGTCGCTGCTGCCAGCGGACGTGGGCGATGAGAATGGCGAGATTGTGATCGCGGAGCGCATGATCCGCATCTCCAAGATGCCCGGCCTGCCCTCCTCTGCCAACAGGTGCGTGCACTGCACACTTCTCACAACACTATCACACACGTTCTCTTGATATGTTTTGACAAAAAACTGAAACTCACGATGCCAATTTGTCCCCCCGTGCCGTGTGCTCGCTCCTCCGCATCTACCCCCCACCCCCAGCGCGTCAACATCAAGTGCGCTCATCCCAGCACAACCTCCCGGGCAGCTGTCCCTCTCCTCCACGTTCGACGACTCGCTCCTAGACCCAGCGTTCATCAGCATGGCCAAGGACCCCGACCAGCGCCGCGTGGAGCAGCGCGAGCACGCCGTGGCGTCGGCACAGACGGGGTGGATCTGGCTGTGGGCGCGCTGCCTGGGGCTCGACCTGGGGGACACTGTGGTGTCGCTGCTCACTGCGGGCGAGCAGCTTGCGCTGCATGGGCGGTACCTGGCACGCGCTGAGAAGCTGGACCTCACTGAAGTGCAGGACATGCGCATCATGTGAGTGCCTCCCACTCTTGCCTGCTGTAGTGTAGGCTGTGGTTGGTGCTGCTGCCACACATGCCATTTGTCTTCATCTTTTGTGTCCCTATCTCACCCGTTGCACAAACACGCATGTGCACGGGGCATGCAGGTACCGGGGCGGCACGGACTCAGCGGGGCGCAGTGTGATGGTGGTGGTGGGGGCGCACTTCCTCGTGCGCTGCCTGGACCTCGAGAGCTTCATCTTCCATGCTGTCAAGGTCAGCCCCGGCCCATCCCACGCTCTGCAGGCGCCCCAACATAGATCGTGAATTGCAGTGGTTGCTCTCATGGTCTTTGGCTATTTCTTAAGAAGAGCCTTGCTTGGCTTTCTGTCTCCATGCTCATCTTTGCTTCGTACAATGTGCATACCTCCACCCCACCATGCGTCTTTCCCAACAGGAGTTTGAGCCCATCCTTCACCGTCCCTTCACCATTGTTTATTTCCATGCCGCCACAACCCTACCAGCGTGAGTTCTCCTTTCTTGTCAGCTCCTCGTGTGAACTTCCACCTTTCGTGTCTCTGATGCCTGATCACCCATGCCTCTTCCACACAGAGCCCCTTACTTTTCGCGCACACGGGTACTCAATATGCCATGCCAACATTCGGCTATGTGTGATGCAATTTGTTTGTGTCATCTACGCCATGGGACATGCATTATCTCATTGGCTGTCCATCCATCCCCGTTGCTGGAATTGCCTACCCCATGCAGCATGGCTGATTATGGGTGGATGAAGCGCCTCCTGAATGTGCTCGGGCCCAAGTTCAGAACGAACCTGCATGTGAGTTCTCGGGCATCTGAGCCTGTTGGCTGTGGCGGTCTGGCATGTCACTTGTGGGTTGCTTTATTGGGTATGTCTTCTCAGAGGGGCCACACTAAGCCATGTCTGAGTGCTGGTGTGTTAGTAGTTTTAAGCTCACGTGTTCCTGGCTGTTGTTTTTGTCAGACGGTGTATGCAGTTCATCCAGACATGCGGCTCAAGGGAACTGTGTGGGGCATGCAACTGCTGGTGGACCCTCTGGTAAGACATGCACAGTCTATATAGTTCTGTGTGCACTGCATGATGCGATGCAAGCATGCATGTGAAATGTTGGATGATGTAAGCTGGTTTGTGACACGTACGTGGCTTCAAACTTTTTCTTTTTCTTTTTCTTTTATGCATTCAGGTGTTCAAGAAAGTGAAGTATGTGGGCAGATTGCTTGAGCTGTTCAGACACGTATCGCGAGAACAAATAACAATACCAGAGTTTGTCTTTATGTAAGTACACAGCCATTGTCCTTGCGTACCATCCTCATTGTTCTTGCTGCCTTTCCAGTGTCCACCTCTTACCTTTGCTGTGCATATGTCTGGTCTGGTTAGCGCCTTTCCTGCTTGTGGGGCCCTTCTGACCATTCCGTCCTACCCATTTTTGCCATGTGGTTCTTTGATTCAGGCATGACGTGGAAGTAAACCCTCAGGATGTGGTAACCATGAGTTTCCAATCAAGGTTTGTTTCTCCACAAGCCCGCCTCCCTGCTCCGGCTTAAAATACAATAGATGTTGGCTAGCATGCATGCCAAAAGTGCTACTGCACCTTTTTTTTTGTCCATACAAAATCAACATTTCTAGTGTCTGATACTTAGTGCCCTCTTCTTTGTCAAAGGGCATGAAACATGTAATATATTTTATAGGACTCGTAGACTTACATACAATAACGAATTTCTTCGAAAGCATTCACTGTCACGCGTCAGCCACGAAACCGAGGCGATATGCGAGGTCAGCAGCACTGACCCGTTCAGAAGTGGCGGCTGTCTTCTGCATTTGAACCCCCAACAAACACAAATCTCGCAACATTCCCCAAGCAGCTTCCCAGTGAGGCTTTCCCAAATGGAGTTTCGTCCAAGGTCATGGGCAGATCACATGGCCTCGCTCTCAAGCCGACCGGCAGGAGGCTCTGGCTTGCCTCCGAAGCCCGCTTTGTCGTCGTTCTGGAGATCTCAACTTTCGCAGAAAACAAAGAGCGTGACCTTTTCGCAAATGAGTGAACCTTACAACAGCCAAGACGTGACAGACTCACAGTTGGATTCGCAACCTGGTGCTGGTTGTTCCCAAAGCCAGGACCAGGGGTTCTCGCAAAGTCAAGCAGACCCCTATATCCAATATTTAAGTCAACCCGAACTAGTGTCAACACCTGTGGAGGAGAACAATGGATGGGTCGGACTAAGCCAGCCAGTGAACTTAATTGTCAAGAAAGAAGAACCACGACCCGCAGTTGTTGAGTCTTCTCTTTGTTTGGAAATGTATGCGGACATTTACAGCAGCCTTGTGCGAGGAGACAAAGACGGGAAGGTGCTCGCATGCACGGGTCTGGACGAGCTGAAATTCAGACGAGGGGATTTGAAAAAGGTGAAGCTTTTGACATACGCTGTTGAATCCAATTTGCTTATCTTGAGCTCATTTGCAGCTGAGCAGGTGCTCGCCATCCACGGCCTTGCTGATGGAAGTTCCAAGTCGAGAAAGGTACGATTGTGTCCATGCCATCCTCACTTCAATGTTATTGTTATTGTCTTACAACCTCCATTGACAGGAAGTCTTGGCTTCTCTGGTTGGAATGCGGCTGTGGCGCCCGTTATGTGAGCTTTCAAAAGCCGTTGAGTCAACGAAAGTACGAATGCCACCTCTTGAAGAAGTAAAGCAAGATCTAATGGCGGTGGGCTGGCTGGATAGTCCTGTCAACGAACTTCTGAAAGTCGAGATGAAGGCCACTGGAGTTGCTGCTGTTGATTTGAGCACGCAAGCGCCAGAGAGCCAAATTGAGCCTGGAAGTCCTCGGACGACAACACTGAAGGGTTTAGAATCCAGGCTTCCTTCTGTGCCAGAGAAAAGCCTTGTGGCTGAAGCTGTGGCAAAGCTTCTCAAGATGGAGCAATGTCCGCCAGTGGACTTGGCCGAGAACGGTAAGTCGGACTGGAGGAATGTGCTCACTCTGACGAGTTCAAGGCCCATCAAACGAGAAGCAGAAGAAACTTCGGATACTGGCAACATGATGGTCATTTCCACACCACGACCTAAGCTTGTAAATTCCGGCACATCCATGGACGATCCGTTTCCTGGGCCCGACCGCCCTATGGAGCGTTGTGGAGACTCTTTGAAGCAAAATTGCACGGTGAGGCTCATCAATTTGACCGTTTTTGTTATTTGGCAAGTTCTGACAGGAATGTCCACTTGACAAGAGATTCTGGTATACCTGAGCAGGCCATGCGCGGGCCTCTTGTTCAATTACTGGAAAAGACTAACAGTACTGGAATAATGGAGCAGAGGAGCAAATGTGGAGTGATGGAAGCGCCCAAGTCCTTGGAACAGCAGCTTATTGTTGATAAACAAAGAAAAACTTCTGTGCATGCAGAGGAAACAGACATGAAAACCGGTATCTGCAACGGCAAAGTACCAGTTTTGGCAACGGCACCACAGATCAAACCCGAACCAGCAGAAATTGCAGAAGAAGTATTTAAAGGGCCTGCTTCTCCTAGCCCTCTTGATGAGCAGATTTCTGGAGCAGCTTCAGTGGACTGGGTATCGTTGGAAAACCAGGTTTTAAGGTTATCGCTCCATTTGCAAATTGACACGAACGAGGTCAAGCCAAACTCGAAGATTGGGAGGACAGTGATAATGGTTTCTCTCAAGGTATGTCTATTTCAAGCGTATTGATGCATTTCTGGTTAGGGGAATTGCATCTTCTCTTCATGCATTGCTGCTGCTGTTCAGGGGGTCAATAGCTCTCACAGGAATGACATCGTGAAGTTGCAGCCTTTAGTCCATGTAGGGAGAGTTATGCGGACTGTAAAGAAGTCCCATATAGACGGAATATGTTCAAAGGATTGCATGGTAAGATGGAAATGCATAAGGCCATGCTTCTGTCCCACTCCCTATGCTGTCAATGCTTAACCAGTTTTCATGTGTGTCATTGCAGAAGTCGCATTCCCCCTTCAGGATTCGTTCTCAAGGAGGGGACCGAGCTAGCATTGCTGACTTGACTGTGGATCTATCTGACAGCATGAGAAAGTTCAGCTGGGATGAATTGTGGACTGCAGCTAAGGCAAAAGACTCCCGTCTTCATGGAGCTTGGGTTATGACAAGCAGGGCTGAGCTTTCTATGACAGAAAGCCAGAAGCATGCGAATGTGCGCCAAAGGCCATTCCTGCACCAGAAAAGGAAGCTGTCGAAAATGGTGAGTTACTAAACGCCAGAACATGTTCGAGCCTGTGTTCTTACTTGCTGCACCAAAAAAGGAAACTGTAAAAAATGGTGAGTTTCCAAACGCCGGAACATGTTCGAGCCTGTGTTCTTTCATCCATTCTTAAGGCTTTCTTTTTTCCAACCCACATCTATTGTGGCAGACCCCTGCAGGTGCATTTCAATAACAAGAACTAAAAGTGGGCTCACTTGTTTGGGCCAAAGATCGGGTTATCTGGTGGCCTGCTGAGGTGAGATCCATAAAGTGCTGTCTTCTCGTTAATGCAGCCTGTAAGTTGCAGTGGCTGACACTACCCACCAGCACAGATAACAATAGCCGCTGACGAAGATGAGCCTTTTGGGAATGTTGAGGTTAAGCTTTTTGGAGAACCCCGAGTCAGGTATGGAGAATCAGCCTTTCAGCTAAATCATGTCATCTCAATCATTGCATTGCACTGAATTCTTTACACTGCAGAATGAACGTGGGGCACTCATCCCTTGAGCCATTTCTGGAAAATGCTGCACGGCACAACTGTGGAAAGCATTCATCTGCATTTAGAACTGCAGTGGCTGATGCGATGCTGAGAGCATCCCCTTCAAAGGAAGTACACGGCTTGGAATGCAGGGAGCAGGCTTCAGCTTCAATTGGGAGTAACGACAGGAAGAAGAGGAGATGAACCAGATCATAATGGAAACGCGTACAGCATGACAAGCTGGTTCTGCCATACACTGGAATGTGACACTCAAAGCTTCTGACAACGGTTCTTCTCCCATCGAAGTGTTCAATACTGGTGCTGAGTGCACCTGACAAACCACATCCCTCAAGACTACACATCTAATGTACAGCCTACATCTGCCCCCCACAGCTCTAGTCATGACTCATGACGCTTGTGGGATGACATTCTCAGGAGGAGGCTGTGAAAGTGTTGTTGCGCGCAGCAACTCCAGGGTCAGAACAAGTCCAAGAAAGTGAGAAAGAGCAGTGTTGCCAGACGCCTGCAAGGAGGCCAGAATGGAAGTAGCAAACATATTACTTGTATTTGTTTCCCTTTCCAAGCTCATTTGTGACTCCTGAGAATTATGAGCATTTTACCATCAACCAGTGACCCAGCAGCAAGAAAAAAAGAGATGATGCTAGCCATAACCATGGTGCTCAGCATGCACGCACCTGAACAAGGAAGACGTCGAGGGCCAGAACAGGGTTGTAGCCGGTGGGAAGGCCAACAGCACCATAGATGGGAGTGGAGGAAGTAAGGGCTTTGGCAACGAGCACTCCAACAGTGGCCTGGAGGCCGAGGAGAGTGGCTCCTAGGCCAAGCAAGTTGATAATGAGGCCATTCTTGAGATTCGCCACCACTGAAGAGCGAGGAGGGGCCTGCAATGTGATCATGCATATGAATGGATGAATAAGACAAATAATACGGCCTCGCCACCCACTGAGCTAAGAGCAGTCTGTCGGCAAGGCAGGGCAGATTCTATATAGTTACCACCATGGAGGAGGAGGGGCGCTCGGGCATAAGCTGGCGTTGCACCATCAAAGGATGCGAGCAAGGAACTCAGGAACTCTAATTGGCCACCTTCATGGGGTTTTCAATGGCATTGCGTAGCCGATCGGCTAGCCTGAGGTACCCAAATGACCAGAAGACAGACAGAAATGCGGCCACGATTCCAGCCGACGTGAGATACGTGGAAACTGGAGCTGTAGGCCGACCAGAGATGACAATGGAGAAGGTGAGAATCACGGAGGCGACAACAGAGCAGACCAGCTGGCCCCAGAATCCGATGATTCCCAACTGGCGGAAGTATTTGGACGTCCGCTCCACCCGCTTCGAAGCCTGGTAGCGAATCGTGAGTGGTAAGGTAAAATAGAAGTGGTTTGGATACGAATCTGGGGACGCCGTAATAGGTTTATGAAAAGTGGCATAGATTCACAAAGCCAAGGAGTAAAATGGTGGACGCCATGGAAGATCATGTATGCGGACGCTTTAACAAGATTCAAGGCAAACGGAGCACGCAAAATCCACGCCGCTCACCTGCTCACGCCTGGCGGCCTCCTGGGGATCAATCTCCTGCTCATACTCGTAACCCGGCGACACGTAGTCAGCAGCGCGAACGGACCAATCGCGACGCGTTGAATAGGACGAAACTACTCCACGCTGAAAAGGCCCCGAAGAAGGACCAGAGGACGAGATTGCAGTCTGTGCGCGAGCAGAAAGTGGTCGGGTAGAGGTCACAACCGGCGAACGGGCAGGAAGAGCCGGGAAACGGCAGAACGAAAGATTTTGACTATGGATGGAACGACGAGTCGTTAGGGAGAGCGACCCGCTAGGAGAAACAGCTGCGACATTCGGGCGAAATAGAACTTGAGAAGCCATGGCGGAAATGGCCTTTTGAATAGATGAGCAGGCTGAATACTGAATCGAAATTTGAACTTCTTGAAAGATTTGGTCGGAGTGGAGATGAAGGGGGGAATGGCTGGCCCCCGCAAAGACCAACGAAAGCTATGCGGAGAGAGCTGCGAGTTTGCGACATCTGTTACCAGACAGGCTGTGTTGTGGTGGTGGACGAAATGGGTGCCCGAAGTTCCACCGCGAAATGTGCAGAGGGCGAAGACGAACTCCCACCCACCACGACCCAGATTCAATTCCTACCTGTCATCAACTTCCACGCCATTGTCGCAACCAGAGTCTCGAGGGCGCTGGTGCCGAAGCCATTTAGGTGTCGTTGACCGCATAATCATGACGCAACATGCAAACGATGCTGCCGTATCTGTTTCAGACTCACGCCTTAAATTGTCGCGCGTACTGCTCGTCGTCGCGTACCTCATCGCAGCCGTCCTCGTAGTCCTCTCCTTCTCGCCACGACTCCGCCTGGCGGAGCAGCAATCATCGCCCGCTTCATCCGGGAAAAATGGAGCCCGTCGAGCGCGGCGATTGGAGGACGAGGAGGCGGCGTTCAACGCGAGTTTTGATTTCAGTCTCAACGAGACGTGGAAGGAGGGCTTCTTCAACATGACTCTCGAGATTGAGTGAGTCCGCTGGCTCCACCTGCTGCTGCACGCGCTTGGCCTGAAGCCGCTTACAGCTGCCGTGAGTTGTGGTCGCGGATTCACGCCCGTCATACGAAGAAGCTCGCAGCGCGCGTGAGCTAGAGATGCGGTGTCGCTGCTGAATTTTGAGGATTTTTTAGAATCTCTTACGGAATTGCGGTGTTGTCGTAGCTGGACTGATGCGCGCTTCCCCCATTCCAACCACCGCCACGTGTCTCGCAGGAAGTGGCGGGCTGGCGGCGGCTGCGATCGCTTTCGTGAGCGCTTCTCGTCGCACCTCCACGTGGACCTGCTGCAAGACGACGACCCCGCCTCCTGGCCGCCCAACCCCTCACTGCAGGTCGGTAGCGCCCCCCATACGCTTCATTCCCCCCCACTGCATCACCACATCACTTCTTCACTGCACCAGCGCATCACTACCCGCTCCATCCTCCCCTCCCTTCACGCTCACCACCCACCCCCCTCCTCCATCCGCCCACATCGCCCCTTCATGCAGCCGCTGTCGTTACCGGAGTGTCCGCGGATACAGCAGCGGCACGTGAGCGTGCGGGTGCAGCCGCCCTTTTTGAGGCGCCTCAAACACCCCCTCCTCTTTCCGCCCCCACCGTTCCTCCGTGGCAGCCCCTATCGTTACCAGAGTGTCCGCGGATACAGCAGCGGCATGTGAATGTGCGCGTGCAGCCGCCATTCGTGTGGTTTGGGCAGCGCTTTGGCAACCGCCTGGGGCTGGAGGGCACTCACTCGTGCGCGCACTGCGGCCTCACGTGCACTGTGAGGGGCGTCATGCGTGTGGTGCTGCGAGTGGCGTGAGGGCTGTGAGGGGTGTGAGCTGTGCAGTGTTGTATTTGGCACAGGACTGCACTGCTGTGGGTGCCTGGTCATTTTAGAGTCGAGCCCTAACCTAGGTTGTTGTGTTCACTGCATCATGCTCCTGCTGTCCGCCTTCAGCTTCCTCCGCTCCTCTCTCCCTCCCTGGCAGTTCTCCTGGGAGGAGCAGGTGATGCCTCGCCCTGACGTGCTGCTCTTCGTGCGCCAGTACGGCCCTCTCAAGGAGGCCGAGCAGAGGGGTGAGTGTGCCTTGTTCACACCACGCCACACCACACCACACCACACCACACCACTTGGCAGGTGGGGCATGGATGCACTCACCACACCACACTGCCCCCCCGCCCACTTCCCCCCTTACCTTCCCCTTCTTCGCCCTGCCCTCCTCCCCCCAGCTATGGTTGCGCTGACCACACTCCCTCCCAACGAGCGCCCCCTGCTGGCCCTGCTGGACCCTGAGGCAGCACCCGAGGGCGCCACAGTCCCCGACCGGGAGATCTTCTCCCCGTGGATGCCCATGGAGGGAAGCGTTTGTGGTCCGAACAACTTCTCCCACTTCGCCCCTCTCCCCTCCCTCCCCCAGAAATGGATGCGCTGACCACGCGGCCTCCCCACGAGCGGCCTCTACTCGCCCTGCTGGACCCCGAGGCAGCACCCGAGGGCGCGACAGTGCCGGGGCGGCAGATCTTCTCCCCGTGGGTGCCCATGGAGCAGCAGGCGCGGTGGGACGTGGTGGTGGGGTACCACAGGGACAGCGACGTGCAGATCACCTACGTGGGCATGAATGATGATGAGGCGCGCAAGGACCTCGTCTCCAACATCAAACTCGCTGTGAGTGAGGATGAGCTGTTCTCTATTGTACTCGCTCTTGATAATTATGAGTACGCCATTGGTTCTGCACGCCCTTGCAGATGTGCTATTGTTCACTCAACACACGCCACTGTCCCCATCCACACCCCTCCTTGCCAGGGTGTGCTGCTGTACCATGCGAGGTCGCACTGCTCAGTGCAGTGGAGGGAGGCCATGGTGAAGGGCGTTCTCCGTGTGGTGCGCCACCACTCGTTCTCCCTTGTCGATTTGTGTACCCCATTGTCACCTCCAACCCCTCTTCCCTGTGCCATGCAGGGAGTGCCGCTATACAGGGCGGGGTCGCACTGTTCTGTGTGGTGGAGGGAGGCCATGGTGAAGGACATCCTGCATGTGGTGCGCCACCACTCGTTCGGCCACTGCCAGTTCAACATGCACCGCATCTCCGAACTCATTGCTCACCCCACGTGCCGGTATGCCAGCGCACACGACCTACTTGAATTGAAATGACCACGATTTGAGCTCCTTGCGCACCCCATGTGCCAGCGCACTGTGTGTGCAGCAGGCATGGAGTGTGCCAAGTCAGCGTTCCCCTCTCCTGTCACTGCCTCCTCTTCTACCTGCTCGGCCCCTCGTCTCCTCCGTCCCTCCATACCCCACAACCCAGTCTCGCCTCCACCCCAACCTTCACCATGCTGCAGTGCGCCGCTGGACAAGTGGACGGCACGCACACACTGTGTACACTCCCTTCCCGTCCGCCCCCTCCGCTCTCCACACTCCACACGCCACTCAGTTACGACTGTGGATGTTCTGCATTCTGTAATGTATTTCATCCTTCAAAAAACAAAGAAAAAAACTCCTCACCTCCAACCCATCGCCCCCACCTGCATTGCAGCACCCCCCTGGACAAGTGGACGGCGCGCACACACTGTGTGGAGTCGCGGTACAAGTTTGCCATTGCGGTGGAGAACAGCGAGAGGGAGAGCTACGCCACTGAAAAGCTCTTCATCCCCTTCGATGCCGGTCAGTTGCACCTCTGCCTTCCCCCTCTCCATCCCCCTCTCCCCTCCCCTCCTCCTACCCTGTCCCCCACTCTCCCCCCTTTTTTCCCCTCTTCCCCTTCTGTTTCGCCTTCTTCCGCTCTCTCCCGTTTTACCCTCTTGTCACTCCATGTCCCTGCGTTTTCCCGAACAATACATTTCTGTCATCACACCCATCCGCAATCGCCCCTCTGCACCGCACTCCACCAACCGTGACCCCTCACCCCTCAGGCACAGTCCCAGTGTACTTTGGAGCGCCAGACGTGGCACACCTGGCACCGCCCGGGTCGTTCATTGACGTGCGGGCCTTCCCCAACAAGACTGAAGTGGGGGCTAATCAACCAGCTCGATGCCAATGCCAGTAAGTGTCTCGCTCCTTCTCCCTCTCCACGTGTGTTGCGAGTTGATTTTATACGCACCCGTGTCGCTCATTAACATGAGAGCCTTCCCCAACAACACAGGCGTGAGGGTGCTCATCAACCAGCTCGACGCCAACGCCAGTACGCCCTGCTCTCCCTCTCCCTCTCCCTCTCTCTCCCTCGCTCTCCATCATTCTTGCCTCTCTTCCCCTCGCCCTCCCCCTTGCTCTCCCTCTATGTCCCTCTCACGGTCTCACCAACCGTGTCTTTTGAGAGTTCCCTTCCCTTCCCCCACTCACACGCCTCTTCCCTCTCGCCATGTCCGCCCCATCCGCCTCCCCCCCTCTCACAGCGCAGTACCTGGACTACCACGCGTGGCGCATCTGCAACAGCAGCGGGAACCTCAAGCACGCCACAGCCCTCTCCATCCTCACCCTGCCCTGCCGCCTCTGCCTCAAGGCCGCTCTGCTTCTCGCTGACAGACAGGCAGCAGCATCGCTGGGAGAAGCTTCCCCCAACTCTGCATCCCCTCCCGCTCCCTCCACACCTCCTCCTGCTGCCTCTCCCCCTCCCTCCTCCCCGGTGCCTGATGCTTCCCCTCCCCCACCTGCTGCTCCCCCACCTGCTGCTCCCCCACCTGCTGCTCCCCCACCTGCTGCTCCCCCGTTATCACCACCTCCTCCTTCTCCCACCTCCCCTCCACCGCTCCCCCCGGCTGCACCCCCTCCTACCACTGCACCGCCTCTCCCCACCCTTCCTTCACCAGTCACATGACCCCGGCTGCGTCACCTGCCGTCGCCGTCACTGCCTCCCGTGCACCTGCCACCAGCTGCTGTGAGCAAGCCATGTGAGCCCACAGGCCGAGCACGTATGCATGTGCTGCCTTTCCATACAGGTGTGCCTGAACTCCACCCTTTCATCCGGTGACCAGCTCCCCGCACCTCTGCCCTCTCTTCCTGCCGTTGCTCTGCTCTGCACCACGGCATCCCATCCCTCTATTCCATCCCATCCGTTCCATCTTAAGATCCGGTTCCTCCTCCCTCCCATGCTCTGCCTCAGACCGGCATTCCGTTTAGCTCCACTCAGTCGTCCATTCCATCATAACACCCTGTCCCTTCCCACTCCTGTTCTGTGCACCGTCCAGGCCGACAGGGTTGCAGCTTGGAGGTGTCGTGTGTGTTGGTGTTGGGTTACCACTGCACCGCCTCATGTTTACTTCTTCCTCCTTCCCCTCTCTCTCCTCCCCTGCGACCCATTCCCACCAGGAGCCCCTCTCACCGGCTACAGCCTGCGCACATGCTGCCGATTGCCGTGATGCCGCAGCAGAGGAAGCTGTAGCAGCTGCCAGTGCTGCTGTTACTGCCGCTACAGCTGCTGCCTCCGATGACCTTGCTGCCTCCGATGACCTTGCTGCCTCCGATGACCTGACCTTGCTGCCACTGTGCCTGGCGCCCTGCCCTCTGCCTTGGCCGTGCATGAGTCCACGTGGGGGCAGCCCAGCATCCCGTGGCTGCGCCTGCTGAACGCCCTCCCGCTCTCCCTCATGCGCCCCGACGCCCATGTCGCCGCCTTCCCCCTGCTCCCACACGCCCCCCCTCTGCCTCACGCGTTCATGTCAGAGACACCGCTGCTGCCCCACAGGCAGCTGCTGCCATGGGAGGTGGTGAACGGGTCTGTGGTGGGGCACGGCGATGGCGCTGTAAGGCGGGTGCGAGGGGGGCGAATGATTCGTGACTGCGTGCACTGGTGCCTGCCTGGCGTGCCGCACACCTGGAACCAGCTCATGTACCTATGCCGACCTCTTGCAATCTGACCTTCTTGGTGTCACTTGATTCCCTGCCATGCTTTGTGTACGGAGTAGCCACACAAGCTTGCCCCTTGTCGCCGCAACCTGGTGCTCGGATCGGATGTCATGTGAGCAACAGCTGATGCGTCAAAGGATGTGACCAAGGAACCCCTCATGATTTCACACAAACATGCACGAAAGATGCTGTCCTGCTATAGTTATAAGCCGAGTAAGCCAGCCAGGGTATGAGGCCCAAGCAGCAAAAAGTTCACAGAAAATGAAAAGGGAACACAGCAAGCTCCCCAGCATCTTGTTCTGCCTCCTAAGCCTAGTGATGGGAGTTCAAGTGTGTGCGTTCATTTCTGCAAGCTTTCTGGCTGGTTTATGTGGGCGGAGTGTGGGTGAACCCCCTGCCATTTGCCACCATGAAGAACTGGTACAAAGACAACTCATTGCTGTAAAAAGAAATACAGCATGGCATGAAACCCATCAGCTCAAACTGTTCTGGCCATCTCCAGGAACAAGATATGAGCTCCAGAAGCATCATGAGGCTGAAACTCGAGAGACATGTCATCTTTTCTGGGCGCCGCAACCTGCAAAACGGCCATAAGCAATTAGTTCTGTCTGCGCGATATTTTATGAGTTCAAAAGGGATGCCGGAGGTGCTGAAAGGCATACCTGCAGGGCATCGCGGGCATGGAGCGTCTCCTTGATGCCACTGTCCTTGGAGGTCACAGTGAGGCCGCCCTCAATGCACAACAGGTACATCTGCCGCCCCCTCTGCAGTGTGTACTCCAAGCTCCTCGCAGCAGCACCAGGCAGCGAGCCATCCATCTCCGACACAAAGATGTTGACGTCTTGATTCACGGGAATAATTCCCGATCCTGCATCTTTGTTGGAACCGTAACGGTCATAGCTGGTTACCACTTGCTGTAGCTTGTTGTGGCGATCACTCTTTCTGCACACACGAGGTTGAAAAGGAGAGACATTCAAGTCAGAGACACTTCACTCATCCCAGTCACCTTGGCACATACAGTCAACACGAGTATGGAAATCAAACGCAGTGTGCTATACTTGTGCAAGTGAGAATGAGGGACCAGATAACGACACAATTGAAGCAAGTGGAATAATGGGTGGAGACAAAAGGAAATGGTGCATGCTGAACAATGTGGATGAGCCCATCGCGCTTGACCGCACCTGAAGGTGCGCGAGCCATAGTTGGGCTTGAGACCCCTTGCGTTCGGCTTCACCCAGATCTGAATGAACCGTTGCCTGCAGGCACGGATAGAGGAGGAGAACAGGTAACGCATGAAAAGGGCAAAATTACTTACAACAGGGAATACAGGGTGAACAAGGCTGAAGAGATAATGACAATGCGGATCGTGTTGATCCTCACGTGCACGTACAGCTGGTCGGAGTTGTTCATCTCGGAGTGCGTGACGCCAGTGCCCGCACTCATGTACTGCACGCACCCACGCCCCAACGTCTCCGCTGTCCCCATGCTGCCAGGCCAGGGTCAAGGCGCAAGACAAGATCGCACAACGACAATGGAAAGCATGATAACGAAAGTTCTGGTGCGCATGAATGGAATAGGGTGCGCATTGAAGCAGAATGGTTGGATGGTGGAGGGAGGCGAGTGACGGGGTGCGCGCACCTGTCCTTGTGAGTGAGCTGGCCGTCCACGGCGTAGGTGATGATCTCCATGTCGCGGTGCGGATGTGTCCCAAACCCGGCGTTGGGCTGCCCAGCATGGTTGGGCGAAACGACACGGAGAGACAGGGAGGAGTTGAGTCTAGAATGCTCCAAGCAAAATCCTCTACAAGTGCAAATTGAGGGGCTGAAGGAGAAGGTGAAAGGCCTGTGGGAGGGACCTGGACGAGGTCGTCGTTGAGCACGCGCAGCACGCCGAACTCCTGATTGGCCGGATTGAAGTACTCCGCGAAGCTGAAGTGGAAGCGCGACTCCAGCCACCACGTGGGCCGGGACACGTACAGCGAGCTGCTCGGAATCTTCCTCATAAACTCCTTCGCCCTGCCAACAGAGAAACGGCGCGTGATGAGGATGCCTGTGCACAGCGAAGGTCGGAACTCCTACAATGCAACGCTAGTGACGAAAAGAAAAATAGAAAAAAAAGTTAGCGAACTGGGGTCCATTGGCGGACGAAACGATCGCTTACATGACCGTGGAGCTTGACCGAACGATTGCCTCTAACGATAAACTTGGTCTTGGGACGGAATCTACGAAGGATGAAAGAAAATGGACTGACTTTCGCGGGATTGGTTTTCTGAAGGCAGCTTTCGCTTCAACGATTAAAGCAGTAGTGGATGAACTCGAAAGAGCTAGTGCAGCTGAATGTCTCGTCGCTTGCAATAAATACGTCATTTATTAGCAAAAGGCTACAGGCCGAGGGAACTCGAGCGAGTAGGAACCAAGAAGAAGGCAGAAGGTTTCTTGCGAGCTTCTAACCATGAGGAGCATTCAGCGAAAGCAGAAATGGCACGCGGTGGATGGAAGCAGAAAGAAATTCGCGATGGCGGTCGAGGCGAGGCGAGGCGAGGCGAGGCGAGGGGAGGGGCTGGTGAGGAGGAAATGGCCGAAGTCGGTCGCAATTTCTAGGAATTGCGGAGAAGTTCACGAAGAATCTTTCGCGACTGGGATTCTCAAAGCCTGGCTGCGACGGTTACAGCACTCTGCGACAACATTTGAACCCCCCGCTCGCCATAGCGTGCAAATGCCCAAGTCTACAGCTCCCCCCCTCCCTCCCTGCGCGTCGTGAGCCAGAAGCTTCCCTCGAACGATCGCTCCCCAGTGCCACGTAAGGTCGGAGATCCGCTCGTTCCCACTCGTCTCGAGCTTCTATCTAAATCCGGTCGTTCATTATTCGCTCCTGGTCCTCACTACCTCCGCCGTGCGCTTCTCTGCCCGCTCGCGCACTATCTTGCGTTCCGACCTCGGTCCCCCATCTTATCTTCGCTCCTTCACCACATCCCGTCTCCATCCCTATCGCCCCTCCCTATCGCGCCGCTCGCTCCCGTCGCGCCAGTCGCACCTATGTCCCTCGCCGCGGCGTCGGCGAGACGCCATGTGCGATGGCAGGCGATGCTGTTGCAGTCGCAGCTGATCGCCCAGCGATCAATCCTTTGCAGATCAGCACTTGACCGTTCACAACCATTCGTTACCTCGCTCGACCGCTCACACGATCACCCAGTGCACGACACCCCTCTCCTCCCTCTCAAGCTCCCCATTTCTCCACCATCCCACCCGCCTCACGCACCCCTCGCCTCGATAGTCGCTCTATCCTCGTTACAAGATCACTCGCCGGCAGCATACGACGGCGCCCTGTTCAAGGATCGCAGACTAAGCATTTCATCCGCACAAACGTCTTCCGACGGCAGTTGCCGGCCAGGCGATGCCGGACCGTCAGGCGCTACCAGCTAGCCGGCAGGTCGTCCCGCACCACATGCGCGCGGCCAGTCTTCATCCCGCAACTCGTTTTCGCGCGGCCAGTCTCGGGCGGTCTGCGAGGGGGAAGCCGTCAGAAGCAGGGCGGAGCGGTAGGGGGAAGGGGGGAGGGGAGGGGGGAGGGGAGGGGAGGCGGGGGGAAGAGGGGGGTAAGGCGGCGAGCAGGAGAGCAGCGGGACGGGGGCGAACACAGTGGGGGGCGGAGCAGCAGCAGCAGTAGCAGCAGTAGTGGCAGCAAAGGCAGGGCAGGAGGAGTGAGTAAATCTTTGCCATGGCTGCACTCCCCTTCCACTCTGCCCCTTGCGCGCTTCTCACTGCTGCCACGCCACTCGCGCACCGCGCCATGCCTCATGCTCCGCCCTTCACACCTCCCCTCCTCTCCCCCCCTTCCCCCCACAGCCAGTGACGTGGGCGAGTTTGGCGCTGCTGGCTGCTGACGGGCGGCGCACTGCTGACGTACTTTGAGAGCGAGAAGCGCAAGCGACTTGAAGGTGCGCAGCGGGGGTGTGTGCTGCTGCTGAAGGTGAAGGGCGCTCATTTCTTTCTTTTCCTCTTTCTGGTGAGTGGAATCCAGGCATAAGTCAGGTGAACTGAAGGGTGCAGGCGTGGTGCGTCTCCACCGCGCATTGTATCCCGCCACAGCCTTTGCTGCCTGCTCTCTCACTCCACTCTCATCACCCCACCAACGGCAATTCCACTTAACCCCCCTCTTCGCGCGCTCCCTCCCTGCCTTATAACCCATCCACCCGTCCAACCCCCCTCCCCACGCTCCTTTCCCCGCGACAGCGGTGAGGGAGTTGAAGCCGGTGGGCAAGGCGGCCATAGGGGTCCCTTCACGCTGGTGGACGGCAGTGGGGAGCCGTTCACAGACGCTGATTTGAAGGGCCGCGGGACCCTGCTCTACTTCGGCTTCACCTTTCTGCCCGGACATCTGCCCCAGCGAGCTCATCAAGATCGCCCAGGCTGTCGACCTTGTGGGTGCGTATGGAAGGCACAGGGGGTGATGGGGAGGGGAAGTGGGTGTGGGTGCGTGCATGAGCGCTGCTCTACTTCGCTTCACCTTCTGCACGAACATCTGCCCCAGCGAGCTCATCAAGGTTGCTCAGGCTGTGGATCTAGTGGGTGCGTGTGGGTAGAGAGGGTGGTGGTGCCGCGCATGTATCCGGAGCTCACTACTCGCCGCGTGCTCATCATGGAATGGATTGATGTGAGCTGTGCTTTGTCGGGGGTGCGATGTGAGATGTGCGATGTGATTCATATGGGTCGATGTGAGATTCATATAGTGGGTCGATGTGAGATTCATATAGTGGGT